GGGGGGGTGTTTAGTATCTGAGTGGGATTAAAGCTCTTGATGATTTTCATGCGTCTGGTAGAAGGGTGGAATGTACATAATTGGGATGGTTTTAAGAACAATAGGCTAATGCAGAAAAGGAAACTATTCCAAGGATAAAAGGAGTCAGAGAATAAAGGCTGCTAACTCTGTATGGAGAGTATTGAAAAGATGGACACAATGGGACAGAATAGATTATAGGGAAAGAAAACATTGAACAAAAACTAGTACTCTGTTGGGTGGCTACCCTAGAAGTGTAATAGGATACAGGGAGCTTATTTAATCCTTCATGCAACAGCAGGGCAGGATTCCATATCTATCATTCAAAAGAGCACTAGGTTACAAGTCTCGCTGGCATACTATGACCCAAAGGGGGCACAGTCTACTACCTTGGGGGCCACCAGGATATTATTGTTTTGGACATGTTGAAGACTATAAAGAAACTTTCAATACTTCACAAAAAAATTCAAAATAAACTTTTATAGATATTTTCAGTTGCAAAAATATGTGTGTGTATTAAACCAAGAAGTTCAGAAATATTTGAGTTGTGATTAAAAGCTAAAAATATAAAAAACACAAGGATTGTTCTTATTTATTTGAAGTTCCATATGGAATCAAATCAATCTTGCCATGGAATGGTAGCTTAACTATCACCATCTTTCCATGCCCAACTCCATAACCCTGAAGAATCTGTACCAGAGCCACAATCTGACAGCTCCCAAAACACAAGGCACTACTGCATGACCTAAAAGACCTCTAGGGCTGCAAACAGATATTGTTCTTTTGCCACCGTGAAACCCAAGCAAACACATCCCAGCGCAGGTGATCCCTCTCCAAAGACAAAGTCTGTGTATACCCTAAAATAAGTGCTCTATCAAGTACCAAATGACACCCTATCTTCTTTCTAAGCTACTACTGGACAACAGGAGCCAGCATTCTCATACATGCAGAGATATGGGTCAGAGCTCATTCTAAATGAAATCAGTGGGAAGAAAAAGCCTACCTTGATAAAACCAGGAACAAAAACAAGCCCCACAACTCTTAAAATCAGAGTATATATAGCCCCAAACTATCCAGCAAAAAATAATTGTCCTTGCTACAGTCTAGTCTCTTCAAAGACAGCTTACAAGAGTTTTGAAGGAGACAAGTGTACAAAAAGTTGAAGTAGAAATAGAGCCAGGTTTAAGATAAAGGCAAAAAAGCACTGGACACAAGTCATATTTTTTTAATTAAAGGAATTTCTAAAAACCCATCATTCAAAACAAGTTTAATGAAGCTGTTGCAGCCATTGCAGAAGTCTTTTCTTTTGCCTTTAATGTAAATCACTGTTAAGTCAAAGTACTTTTCCAAAAAAGGGAAGTAAAAGAGGCATCTCTTAGTAAAGATAGTTCTGTCATCCTTAACTATAAGGCTGCTGATATCTGAAGAGTGTAAATGAGGAAAGAAAGAAATTATTTAACTAACACAAAGAGAGAAAGGCAGTTAGCTGTGCTTGTATGAAGTTAGGCAGAAAACAGGGCACTGCAGCACCTTAGAGACTAACTCCTTCAGAGAGTCATGAGCTTTCATTGGTTACAGTCTACTTTGTCATAGTATCTGACAAAGTAGGCTGTAGCCTACAAAAGCTCGTGCCTCTCCAAAGGAGGTAGTCTACAAGGTACAATCCTGCTCTGCCTAGTACAAGAAGGTATAACTACAGGCAATTGGATAAAATAAGGAAAATGTTTCAGCTAAGTAGCAGGATATTAAAACAATCCTGAATCAAAATGGGGGAGGAGACAATGTTAGCTGATAGGCTTTTTCTGTCTTCTTTCTATTTAGTTCTTTGGCAAAGCAAGCCATGTCATCAAAATTTTTTCTTTCCTGTCAAATATGTCATTAGTTTTTGGCTTGTAAAAAGATTGGTAAAAATATTTCACAAAAGCAGTGCTGTGATACTCTTTCAGTTTTAAGACAACAAACCTGTTTTCCCCCAGTAAACACATACAAGTTGCCAAATATATCATTATCAGCTAGTTCAGTATGGATTGTTCCTTCTAATTTTGGTTTACTTCTTCATGTGACCATCTAAACTGGCAATCAGTTTCTAATACATGGCTATCAACCTGTGCTTGTTTATTATCTAGCAACCAGGACACTTGTGCAGCTTTGCTAGAATCTTTCAAGCATGTACTAATCAGAGAGGCAAGGGATGGGAACCTCTTGTTTCAACTGATACATTAAGCTAGGTAATAAGCTAGTACACCTCATTTAGGATTTTTCTTTGTTTGACTGATTGGTTGAACAGGCTGCACAGTTTCATTGTCACACTTAAGATGTTTTTAGTGTTGTATTAGTATGTTAGCTTCCTGTATGATGAAGGTGAAGGGTTTATATGAATCAACCCATAAGAGTGCTACCTGCTAGGTGACATAATTTGGCCCATCTTAAAAATAGTTATGCATGCAGATAATTTTATGTAAGCAAATAACCCTATTAAAGTCAAGTTAGATAAACACATGTTCTCAGGTTTTGGACTTTTGGTGTTAATAGAAAAAGTCCAGAGTGGAAGTAATGGGAATAAGAGACATGCACTGTAATATGCTTACAAACCACCTTTATATAGCAAGTAGGATGTGCTTTAGATAGGGAGAAGACATTCCAGTGTTATGATCATACACCTCTTCATTATGAGTTTGTATAGATTTGTCCAGGTTCTGCTGTTCTATGAGTTTATTTTTGCTAAACCTAATGGAATACAGAGGAATATGTTAGTTATTACCCTTGCAACAGAATTTTTTTTTTTTTTTTATAAATTCTCTTATCAGAGATACTCCTACATCTGAGGTGATGCTAGTCTGATCCCCTATGCCCCGCCAGTTTCCACTGACTTGTTATAAATTCTTCTCTCTTGTCCCTCATCTAAGGAAAGTGCACAACAGAGTATTGTGGGCCAATATTTCCCTGGTGATGGCAAATAATGTATTGCTCTGTATTATCTTCTCCTCTCTCCTCCTCCACTGTCACTAAATAATTCCTCTTGTCTTTTAGAATCTCTAATGATTCCATCAATGATCTTTTGTTCTTTTATATATTTTAATAACAGTCTCACTGTTGCCCAGATGACATTGTGTAATCCATCCTGATTTCTTGGGAGCTGAAGCAGTGTTGACTAAATCCTGCCTTCATTTACCCTGTGTATAAGCTGGCCCAGAGAGTGGGTCAAACTCTCAGCTAGTGCAAATCAGCACATCTCAGTTTAAATCAGTGAACTACACTGATATATCAAAAATTCTTCTTATATGAGTATCTGTGTGCATGTAAATCAGGGGTCATACTTCATTAGCTTGCCACAATAAATTAAAGTATAAATGACTGAAACACTGCTATGACCAAATCTATTCCCTTTAGGGATTCTTACAGGAAGAGTTGATGCTAGGGTGTTAGTCCATGCTCTTTTTTAGTTTCATTTGCCCCAGTGATTAAGCTGGTGTTCTTTCTTTCTTTGGCAATTTGCACTTCTCTTTTGATGGTAATGGATGGAGTCATGTGACTTTAGAATGGCTCTTTCTGGTTGCATGTTAAGCAAAAACATTGCAAGTGGCTGTTAATGAAGGGGCTTAGAACCACTATTCTGGGAAGTTTCAGAGACCCTTTAGTTTTTCCCCAATAGCTTGTACCCAGGACAGTAGAGGAGGGAAGGTGCCAGCTGTACCAGTCTTAGGGCAGCATCTGCTGGTTATTCCATGGATCAACATAGATGGTTGTCATGGAAGAGGCTGTTTGCTGGAAGAGACAGAGGTAAGTGCTGTTTCATCAGTAGCTTTAAGAGCTTGGGGGGAGGGTCACAAAAAAGACTAAGGAGAATTAAAATAATGCTCCATAATGAGAAGCATGGAGGAGGCCTGATGAACCTTTGATCAAATTAACACCTATGTATCCTGTAGTATTAAAGGACAACATCTGAAGGCAAGATAGTCTACTGATCACCAATTTCAGCTAGAACAGATTGCAGTGTGCCACAAGTACCCCTCCAAATAGAGGAACTGTTCATCCAAGCTATCGTTGTGAGGAAGACCTGCAGATATTTAAGCTTTTTTAATTCTGTCTTTCTTTTCCTCCTGCTTTATGTGATCCAGGATAGGAAGTCACTAAATAAATACATAAATAAATAAATAACAGGTGTAGGAATGGGAGGGAGGGGGATAATGAAACTTTAATACATGCCAGTCTTTATAGAAATGAGAGCTGGTCTTGGTATGCTGCTAGAGAGAAACTACAGCTTAATCAAGCTGTTATACAGAGTGATTCATAGCCTGATATTTTATGTGATCGAATATCGTAACAAGGGTTCTACCCTTCAATAAAGAAATAAATAAAAATAACATCTAGATGCTATGCAACAAGTTGACTGCTCTGTTTACCCAGGTACAAATCACATTGAATTTGCAGCTTACCAATTAGGCTAGTTTTGCTTAAAAAGATGTAAGAGTTTGAATCTACAGTGGGCACTTTTGCAGGCACGACAGCTTATCGACAGGATCTGCAGCTGGATTCGTTTTGCAGTACCAGAGTGACCAATGGCAACAAAGTAGTACTTATATATTGTTACAGGAGCCAACAAGTGGCAAGTGAATTAATATCGCTACTGAATGTATTCCCTGGGTTCATGCCAAACAATACTGTGCTCTTAAAACTCTATAGGGTGCGATATACCTTCATGACGATTTTTTTAAATTAGTCTAGTGTGATCTCACCTGCTGAGCTCTCCCTGCAGTGCTGAGGGTGACACGGAGCAGTGCCGGTGGAAAGAGGGTACTTGTTGGCGTGCTAGCACGTGTCACCGCCGCATCTACAGTTGGTTCTTAAACAGCTGTCCGTCCTCCTGCTTGGAGATCGGCGTAGTCATTTCTAGTTGCTGTTCCCTTCGCTTTTAAACTGTATCAATCTGTTGCCCATTAGCCTTGATGCTTGCATACCTTTTCACTACAGCTTGTAATCTAGCTCCCATCCTGCTCTGGGAGCTTCTTGATAGATAGCCACCAGCCTGTCTGTGTTCAGGCTCACCACGCTCAGTAATCCTGATTTCAAACAATATACATAATTGGATTAACTAAACTGCAGATAATCAATTTACTGGAAGAGGAGACACTGAGTGATGCAGAGATGTTTCACTGGGCAATGCCAGGGAGCTGGCTCCGAGTGCCGATTGGGGTGTCTCCCAGCTCAAGACGCCAAGTTGGCTACGCGAGTGCCGCTACTCACATTTTCGAGGCAATAAAGCCATTAGGGTCTCCAGGACGCAGCCATAACTTCATCCAGCCTCCGTCACTAGACGGAGGCTGAATTCTCCATACTTTTGTTTGCAACTGGTGTGGTCCCTTTACTGACTGATAAATACTCAAGAATGTGTCTTGACCGGGGGGGATTGGGGGGGGGGAGCCCCAGCCTAACCCCCTCCTTGTAAAGTCCTGGCATCCGAATCAACTCAGCCAGAAATCCTCGGGTTAAATCGCACACGTCTATTACCCATGTCAAAAATGAGGATGGGGGAGGAAAAGTTTATTCTGAAGTTCTCTTTTTGTCAATGACGAGAGTTTCAAAGGGATCTCCAGCTGTACATTTTCCTCTGGCGGCTACTGTCTGCAGGAGCTAGTCTGCAACAAGTCCCTAGAGTACTTTCTGTGATAGTTAGAGGGAACGTGACATTCAAAAGCCAAATGCTTCCTTACCTGCCACCAGTGCAACTCTCCAGAGCCAGCTCATCTTGCACAGCCCCCAGATGCGAGCCAAGAGGTGGTAGGAAAGTGATCTGGAGTCTGAGTTTATTATATAGAGAGTGTCCAGGAAAGACTTTTTCCCGGGAACTTTCTGTCCCACTCCCCATTTACTGGGAGGCGGTGAGAATCACGTTTTATACCATGATAGTTGGTAATCATTGGTAACCTCTCTCATTCATTAAGACCACGTAAGAACTCAAAGGGAAACGTGACTGAGCTAAGGCGTTTGCGTAAATCTATAGGTTTTTAAAAATCCCTGCCAGTTGCTTTCTGTCTTCTGTAGTCACCAAGGTGGTGGAGAGTTTAAGCTTGCGGATATTGCAAAGGGTTATTAGATTCATAAGTCACACCAAGTGGTGGGCGATTCACTGAGCAAAGCAGAAGTTCTCACATGATGACTTCAAACAAGACACATTACCTTCCAGCATCTGTTGGAGAGACTGGATTTTAAGACACTTCTGTCTCCAGGACAGCAAAGAAGCAATGGTGAGTACCAATAAAAATCCTCTTTTTATGACTGCAAAAAAATGCTTGAGATGTTGCTTAACAACAGGATCCAGTATCATGGCTCAGCTTTCTAGTACTTAATACACCAAAGAATAGGACCCACAAAGGCCGGGGGAATGCTGTTTTTAGACGGTGTAACTTTAATGGAAAGGATCTTTGATTTAAAGCTGCGATGCAAAGGCTGCGTTTAACGAACTTGGAGCCGGGGAGCTGAGTGCTCAGCGCTGAGGGCTCTGTCATGTTCTTCTCTCATTCACCTTTTCTATGTGGGCATAGAGGATGATTTATGTGTGGCATCCGTGGGCATTTCCTTACACCACTAGTGGAGAGTTAAGACAAGGAGATATAATGGCTTCAAGGTGCGGGATCCCAATATGAGGAGCCAGGGATCCGGCTACAGATGCTAGCGTTTGGGCGG